AAAGGTGGAGAAGCAGTGGAATAGGACAAAAGGTGGAGAAGCAGTGGTAGATATTTAAGGAGACATATAGTTACATTTCTTTGAGAAAGAAAGTCTGAGAAGGTTGCACCATTTGTGGCTACATAAGATAGTTAAGGATGGTACTAAATTGAAAAAAATTGTACAATTCTATGATGATTAAATGGCAAGCCTGAAGATTGGAATTTCTTTTTAAAAGAAACCAGCAAAGGATATCAAAAACAATTGAGGACCAGAAAATAAAGTATGATAATTAAATAGTATGAAATAGAAGCATAAATTTCCACAAATTAATTAAAAGGAATAGAATAGTTCTTTAGAGGTTGAGGCTAGGAATTAATAATTGCAAGCAAGGAAATTGCAGCAGTTTTAAACAAGTATTTTGTATTAGTCTTCATGATAAAAGACACAGAAAATATCTCAAGAATAGTAGAAAAATAAGAGGGAAAAGACTTGTATGAACTTAAATTAAATGCAATTACGAAAGGAAACAGTACTTGCAGAATTTGTAGCAATAAAGGCTGATGAGTGCCCTGGACCCAATGGCTTACATCCTAGGGTCTTAAAGGAAGTGGCTGCAGAGGTAGGGGATGCATTGGTTGCAATTTTCCAAAATTATCTGTATTCTGGGAAGGCGTCGGTGGATTGGCAAAATGCAAACATATCACCTCTATTCAATAACGTTGGAAACAATACGTAGAAAACTACAAGCCAGTTAGCCTAACATCTACCATTGGGAAAATGCTAGAATTCTTTAAGAAGTTAGTAGCAGGACATTTAGAAAATCAGTATACAATCAAGCAGAATCAACTTGATTTTATGAAAGGGAAACAACATTTCACAGATTTATCAGTTCTTTGAGGATACAAGTGGGAAAAATAAAGGGAAACCAGTAGATGTAGAATATTTGGATTTCACAAAGTTATTCAATAACACATCACCTAAAAAATTATCTCACAAATTAAAGCGAATATATTAGCATGGATAGAGGACTGAGGTAAGTAACAGGAAACAGGGCGTTAAAATAAATGGGATATTTTCAGGTTGACAAACTGTAATTAGTAGAGTGTCACACAGGTTAATGCAGTAAATTACTTCATTTTGTTATAACTTGGATGAAGGGATCCAGTATATTATAGCCAACTTTTCTTATGTTACAATGATGGATAGGAATACAAATTTGTGAGGATGACACAAAAAGTATACAAAAGAATGCAGACTGGTAAATTAAGCAGGCAAAAAACATTGGAAAATGTGAATCTGCCCACTTGGACAGGAAGAACAGAGAAGAAAAATTATATTTAAATGTGGACAGACTGTAGAGTGATTCAGTAGATGAATCACACAATGTTGGCATACAAAGTAAATAATTAAGGGGATAGAATATAAAAGTAGGGAAGTTTTGTTACAACTGAAAATCCTGAAAGTATATATTATACTTGCATTGACAAAAAGTTCAGAAAAGATTCACCAGGCTGAATCCTGGAATTAAGGCGTTGTCTTATGAAGAAATACTAAGCAGGTTGAGCCGATCCTCATGGTTATTATTCTTCAGAATTTTTTATCCTGGAGAGCAGTGTACTTTGAAAATAGTATCAACAAAAATGAAATTAAGTTACAGAACCTGTGGGACCAGACAGAAGGAAAAGCTGGAGAAGAAAGCAATCAGCATACAGCTGAAGGCACAGAGAAAAAGAAAGCACAGAAGCAGGAACCCAGAATTCATGTCAAGGGAAGTCAGTAAGGTTCACCACGAAAGGTTCAGTTTTCTGTCAAGTAGTAAGAAGAAAAAATATACTTCCAGAAACTCTTAGGGAAGTGATGTATGAATGAACCAAAAAGGACAAAATATTAAAAGTAGATTGTAAAACATATATTGTTGATTGGTTTGCTGAAAAGGAACTCTGGAAAGCTACAGTATCAGAGCATGGCCTGACCCAAATGAGCGAGGATTTGTAGGGTTTATCAGTGTTAATCATATCTGACGACTTTGAACAGAAGCTATGGTACTAGAGAATGGTACCCAAGGGCCAATTCAATTCGGTGAGAAAGTATAAGAACAAATCCAACAAATGGAAAAGTGGAATTTTATTTGCAATTTCTTCATTCAGTAAATTTAGTTGATTTGTTTTATGTTCCCTGCAAGGATTGTAACACTGTAAACAAATACAATAAATTAACTACAGGGTCCATAAGCAATTGGGAAATCAAATTGTAGCCTTGTCTCCAAGAAGTTTTCGTACAACTAAAGATTCTTGCTGCAACTGTGTAGGGCTTTAGTGAGACCACACCTGAAAATTTTGTATACAATTTTGGTTTGCTCATGTAAAGAAGCATTACTTTAGGATGGGTGCAATGAATATTTATTAGATGAATTCCTGCGGGGAGAAGGCTGTAGGACAAGAAGTGATGGAGTAGAATGCAGCTATGTTCTCTGGAGTTCAGAAGAATGAGAAAATCTAATTGAAATGCATAAAGTTTAAGAGAGCTTGACAATATGGATGCTGAGATAGTACTTCCCTGGCTGGAGAGTTTAGGATTGATGCTCTGTCCAAGAGTTGTGGGTGCTCAGTTAAATATATTCATGGCAAAAATCAATGTAGAAGATCAGTTACAATCTCATTCAATGGTCAAACAGGCCTCAAGGGGATAAGTCCGAATCCTTCTTTTTAAAAGAAAGGGCTTACACATTTAATTATGATATTCAAAGTACATTTTAAAAAAAAGTTGGCAGGCGTACCAAGAGTAACAATGTATCTGCCTCTAAATCTTACCGTGTCTTATTTACAATTTCTGCACCACGTGCCCTGTAATAATCTAGATTCTGTTGGAACTGGTAATTCACAGGTCTTGGATTGTTCTGGGAAGGAATAAAGTTTGTATCAAATTTATAAACTTTTGCAAAAAATACATTACTCATATCTTCTAAAATCAATTCCAAAGTCTGTCAACTAAGCACTAATGACAGTATTTTAAATTTTGTAACAATCTAGTTAGGTCAAAGCTACTTAGATCATAAAATAGTCAATGTTTTAAGATACCTACATTAAATCTCACAGCACATTTGGTTGGACACACATACCATATCAAATATTTCATGGTTAACAGCTTTCCTTGGTTGGACACACATACCATATCAAATATTTCATGGTTAACAGCTTTCCTTTTAAAATTTTCATCCCTGTTTTCTTGTTGCCTTTTCCGTCCTATCTCTGTAATCTCCTTCAAAGCCACAACGCTCTAAGATATATGTCCTTTTTTAATTCTCTCCTCTTGCTGCATTCCCAATCATAATCGTTCAGCCACTGGTAGCTCTGCCTTCAGTTGTAGAGGCCCTAGTCTCTGGAATTTACCCCCTACACTTCTCTGCACTATCCTATTTTTAATCACTTATCAAATCTTGTAAATGCTGAAATTTAGAAAACTAAGAGCTGACTGGATTGAAGCATCTCGGATCCTGAGTGGGCTTGATGCAATGGACGTGCAAAGAATCTTTCCTTTCAAGGAAGAATCTAAAACTAGGTGATCAAAAATAAAAGATCACCCATTTAAGACAGATGAGGAAAAATTCTCTCTCTCAGTCAAAAGTTGTTGGAACAATCTTCGCTAAATGGTGGTGAAAACAGAGTCTTTGAATATTTCTAAGGCAGAGGGGGATAAATTCTTGGTAAGCAAAGGGGTAGGGGTTATTATGGGCAGGCAGAATTATGGAATTCAGTTATGATCTTGTTAACAGTATAAGGGGAGAAGGGTCAAAGAGCCTACTCCTGCTCATCATTCATTAGCTTGTTTGCTCATGTGACCTAATAGCTATTTTAAGAGGTTTGGTGTCATACTTTCCTTTATAATGCTATGATGCAATGTCACGGGACATTTTGTTATGTTTAAAGATGCTTTTTTTAAAAAAAGAGGCTGTTGATATTGGATTATGAAATTTTAAGCACAGTAAATTGCTGCTGCCTTACCACCACATGACACGTGACTCGATAAGGTTTTAAACTGGTTCAAAAGGCTGTTTACTTGAAACAGACTCAAACCGTAAAACTGGCTCTGGCTGCAGGTTTAAATGACATTTGTGCTTATTCAGGACTCAGGAGGTCCATCACATTGTATTCAGTTTCTTAGGTTCAGTAACATGCATCAACTCAAGGATGGCAAGGTTAGTTTACTCTGTTGCAATTGCTTTAAAATTCAATCAGTTGATCTGACCCTAGTAAATAAGACCTATTACTGGTAGTGAAATCAAGCAGTGTGTTTTGCTCTGCTGTAGTTAGTGAATTGAAGACAGCAGTGACCAGCAGTCAACTGAAGCTCATTAAAAAGTAAGATAAAGAACATTTAACCAATCAATCTGTTGAAGAGTGGCTAAGTTCTTGGCAAACCCATGCCTCTTTGAAAGAATGCCCTGCTTCAGTTGCAAATCACTGATGATTGATTACTGTACTTGATTACGCTGATTCATGAACGGTTTTACAGTTGGATTTGTGTTAATAGCTTTGTTTGTAAACCTCAGCATAACTTTGCCTTGGCAAAATCAGAGCTTTCTGCTGATTGTGCTCCTGGGAGAAACTCTATGCCATAATATCTACAATTGAATGGTCACTACAATATCTTTCAATTTTTCGGTTGAAAGGGAATTGTGGCACACCTGGAACATCTGAACAGAACTTAATACATGAAATGTCGACTAGTTTAAGTTTTTCTTGAGACACTTGCTTGATATTCAATTTCTTTCTCATCAGACAGTTTCTTCGAGAGACAGTTACCCCTGTTTAGACAGGCAAGCAAATGTTTGCGATGGCCTCTAGTGCAGTAGTTCCTTGTGATGCAAGTGCATGGATTCAGACCTGTGGAACAATTTATTTCTGAAACAAATTACAAGTCACAATTATTTCAGGGTTAGAAGGATTTTTTTTATTAGTCTTCTGTGTAGTTGTTGGTGTGACTGGTTGGACTGGCATTAATTGCCCACCCATAATTACTCTTGAGAAGCTGGTGGTGAGCTGCCTTCTTGAACTGTATTGTAGGTATACCTACAGAACTATAAGGGAGTTCCAGAACCTTGACTAATGTTTTGATTTTGACAGCATCAGCTGTCCTGGTCTATCTCGATGGTAGAGGCCTTGGTTTGTAACATGCTGTTGAAGGAACTTTGGTGAGTTATTGCAGTGCTACTTGTAGATGGTACATATTACTGCTACTGTGCATCGGTGGCTGACAGAATGCCAACTGAGATTTGTCCTGGATTATGTTGAGTTTATTGAAGCTGCACTAAGCCAGGCCAGTAGTGATCACTTCATCACACTTCTGAATCATGTGTTGGCATTTTTTAAGAAGTTTGCTCACAGGATGTGGATGTTACTGGCTAGGCCAGCATTTACTGCCTGTCCCTAATTGCCCTGGAGAAGGTGTTGATGAGCTGGGTTCTTGAACAGCTGCAGTCCATATGGTGTAATCAAACCCACAGTGCGATTAAGGAGAAGATGGGAAGGATACAGTGAATTGGGTTATCTTAGAGTGAAGAGTTAGTGTTAGACTTAGAAATGTTGTGATAAACCTCTGACAAGGTTACTTATAGCTCAATACATTTAAGCTCAGATGTACAATAGCTCCAGGAAGAAGCAATCTGCAGTCCTGTCTAAAAATTAAAGTCACAAGTGGCTGAAACCCACTAAGGTGTTAGATACAAAGACTCTGGTGTGAGTATTGTACAAGTGGTGCTTTGTGTACTATACCAGTGTGTGTTTTGAGTACTGTACAAAAGCTATTTTGTTTCTTTTTAATTTGTAAAGGAGCATTCTGGGATCACTGCAGTTAACTCCTTTAAAGAAGCTCTTATTGCAAGTTTTTGTATTCCTCTCTAGTTTGCCCTCATAGTTTATTTTCTCTATCTTTATCTTTCTGGTTCCTCCTTTGCTGGATTCTGAATTTATTTCAGAGTTCGGGCTGTCACTGACTTTTGCCTCCTTATATGCTTTTTCTTTCAACTTAATACTCTGCTTAACTTTCTTAGTTAGACATGGTTTGTGTTTCTGTCTTTTAGAATCTTTCTTCTTTCCTGGGATATATTTTTGCTGAAGTCATAGGTTACCAGTTTAAATTTCTGCTACTGCTTGCTCATGGTCATTCCTGCTTATCTATCCACTCAGTTCACTTTAGCCAACACTAGCCTCATTTCATTGCAAGTCCCTTTATTTAAGTTAAACACAGTACTTTCTGACCCAAGTTTCTCACAATCAAACTGAATACCAAATTCTGTCAATGTTATGATTGCTACTTCCAACTGTATCTTTTACTCTGATGTCATTTCGTAAACCTGCTCATTACCCATTACCAGGACCAAGATAGCGTGCTCCCTAGTTGACTTTATGATATATTGTTCTAGGAAACCATCCCAATGCACTCTGAGTTTGTTTCGATAGCTACCCTTCCCAATTTGATTAACCCAATCAATCAACATGAAGATTAAAACCACTCATAATCATTGCTCTACTCTTTTTAGATGCTCCTACTGATTGATTTATAGCCTTTCCTACAGAGTGGCTACTCTATGGGTCCGTACACTTGTCCTACAAACGCCATATTTCCTTTTGTTTTTTTTTAAACCTCCACCCAAATGGACTCTACATCATCTGAGCCTAGAGTGACTCTCACAACCATCCACATTTCATTTTTTTTTGTTAACTGTGCTACCCCACTATATTATCCAACACTCCTGTCTCTCTGAAAGGTCAAATATCACTGAATGTTAAATTTCCAGTTTTGATCTCCTTGTAACCATGTTTCTGTAATAGCTATGAGATCATATTCATCTACCTCAATTTGCAATATGACATCATACATTCTGCCCCTTCCTTTTACTTTCTGGGAACAATGTGTCCCATCACTAAGCCAGGGCTCTACTGCCAGCATGGTTCAGGTGAATCTTGTCCCATCAGGATAGCTCCCTCCTTCCCCAGAACTGGTAACATCCTCTTCTTTGTTCAGAAGGGACTAGGTATATCACCTTGAATCACTGAACTACTGTATATGTTTACAAAACTGTCTATTAAAAATAACAACTGTCAACATTATATGTGACTTCCACAAAAGCATGTTTTCTGGTCATTATTGTGTTGCTGTGCACAAATTGTCTACCATGTTTCATATCAGCCACCTTTAGTTGACCTTGAGGGAGATTACTAATTTAGTGCTAAATTCTAGACTGTTCTTGGGAATTGGTTGAGATTGGAAATACATTTTTGTTAAAAACCAACAGATAGTCATATACCCCAGAGTCCAATAGTATGTTAACTCACCGTACTACCTAACTCCAAATTTTTATGATCCCAGCTGAATGGACAAACTATCCTAGTTTGATTCATCACATGGTCAATTTTTATTTGTTCGCTAACATGGTGATTGGTCAAAACATATTCAAAAGATTGTACAGGTTCTTTGACAATAAAACATAAGTTTAATACAAAAAAACCAAACAACTCAAGCTATACATATTACAGCTGGTAAGACCTTAACACAAAAATGAAAACAAAGTTACAACCTGTTTCCCACGCTACGTGTTACTGAGACTAAAGTTCAGAGAAATTACACTTCTATCTCAATGCTTTAGGTTTCTGCTTAACTGACTCCTTCCCGGTTCTTTCCTGTGTCCTTGTAGAGATAACTTGATTATTCCTTCCCATGACTGCTGAAATGAACTCTTGACAAATCTGAGAGCCTAATCTTTCACAATTCCAATGATTTGCAGATTTCGATCCAAACACTCATGGCCTGGAAGCTTCACAAAATAGACACATCTGTTCAGGTGACTGGCTTTCCTTGAATGGAAGTAAAAAACTCCTACTAGAAAACAAACTAAAA